AACGGTCAAAATTTATAAATTGTCAATACCTCATTCGTCGTGCACCGCTGCAAAGGAACTTGAGGTAAAAATTCTGTCAAGGCTTTTAATCAAAAATTTACAATCCATTTTTGCTAATGATGGAAAATTTTCACTTGGAGGTTGTTTTTTTTTCGATTAATGACTGTCAAAGTTTTGAGATAAATATTTATTCGGAAACAGTTATTTTTTAGAAGTATTTTGGCTGGAAGAAATCAAATTTTTTGCAATCGGGTGTCTCAATTTGCGTGCGGGAACTAGGGCGCTAATTTGATTGGTAGCAAAAAAGGAAAATTTATTGTTCAGCTAAGAGGCGCTAGATTTGAGTGACTAATTTCTTTTTCGAATTCCACTTTTGACAGTCAGTGATTCCGGATCTCAGCTTAGGCTTGTCAGGGTGGTTAAGATGTCTGTACCTTTCTTTCCGATAATTTGTTTTGCGTTATTAGATTCCTCCGGTTTTTTTTTTTTTTTTCATTTTTGCTCGAATTATTCGTTTCATAATTTGCCTGGATTGCCAAAATGGCAGTATTGTCATAATCGAATTATTTTTTAACGCCATTGAATATCATCTTATACAATCAGCACGTTGTGCCTGCCCCTCCGCATGATACATTTACAGCGCAGTGCATTGTAGGTAAGTGCGCTCAGTCTGGAGATGGGTTCTGTTCATTCGTGTGTTTATGGTACTTTAGACTGGGATGCTCAGTCACTTTCTTACGGAACCTACGATAATTCGTACGCCCGTTCCATCTTGGATGCCTGCATTGGATGCACTTCAGTTACGTAAGTTTTTTTTGTTGTTTTTCAAGCTTTTACATTCCCAACAGTTCCCAACACTTTTTCCTGTACCACTATTCGCTGTTCCAGAATTGAGCCGCGGGAAGCACATTTCCGTCTGGAAGCAGTGGAGAAAAGAGATGCACTTCTTGGCGAGGTGGCTACAATACCACTGTCATTGATTTGTGAGGAAGACGGCCCAGTTGATAGCATCAGGTTCCGCTTCCCACTAATTTTTGGATAGTATAATTGATTTTTTTTTTTTTTTGGGATACTCAAGGCCACTTCTGTAAACTCCTGTTAAATTCTCTGTGCATGTACATTCCGTCCAGATGACCGAAATTTAGACTGGACTGGTGCTTACCTGCGAAAGAGGACACAAAAGAAGCACTGTTCTTTATCAATGAAGAAAATGACTTTGTTACGAGTGATTCGAAAATTCTGAAATACAACACTCCTCAGTCTCCTCCTTTTAAAGTTTGTTTTTAAATGTTTCACGTGTGGTTCAGGAACGTATAATGGTGCCCAAACATTTTCCATTGACTTTTCGCATAATTCTTTTCTGGATTTATGAACATTTAAATATGAACTTTCGGCTAGTTTGACCGCTGTTTGGCCAGTTCGGATCTCGCTGTATGTATACAGCTGACCTTGACCCAAATTCAGTGGGTATTATGATTTATGATTGGAGAAACTCATAGATCATTTGAGTTGAACGGTTTGTTTTCATCAGTCTGATTTAGTTGGGTAATATGAGTTGGATGGCTAGCTATCTAATTTATGTCCTAAAGTTTTAATTTGAATTTAGGTTAGACCGATTTTATAATTAGACAAGAGAGAAAGATACCAGTTTA